GATGATGTTAGCACAAAAAAGGCCACCATTTGCCATTTGAATAGATCGTCAAACCAGTATATATCTGTCTATCTATGACATGACGTATAATGAATATTTAAAATTGAACATAATCAGTGAAAGCAAGTCAGAATATGGCACGAGAACCACATTCATTAATACAAAATGGCCGCCAGTCGGCCATTTTGAATCTTATCTGAAAAACAAAATTATTTGCATCAAGGTCCCATAATGTCTAATGTATATACCAAGTTTGAACAAAATCCATCTGTAAACAGCCGAGAAATGGTTGATTTTTAGGATTTTTTAGCACAAAAATGGCCGCCATTCGGCCATCTTGAATCAGATCGTAAAACAAAATGATGTGCATCAAGGTCCTATAATGTCTAACGTATATACCAAGTTTGAACAAAATCCATCTGTAAACAGCCGAGAAATGCTTAATTTTGATGATTTTTAGCACAAAAATGGCCGCCATTCGGCCATCTTGAATCAGATCGTGAAACAAATTGACGTGCTTATGTATAATATCATGTATGATGTATGTGTGAAGTTTGATTGTGATTGGTCCAGGCATTTCTAAGATACAGGTCTGGACGCAGGCACAGACGCACACACGAACACACGGAGGTCAAAACATAAGTCCTCGTTTTCGGACTGCGTCCGAACGGGGACTAAAAAGCTCATTGTTGCCAATATTAGAGTGTTAGGCTGATATTAGGTGTCTGAAATACAGTCCTGACTAATGTAGTGTTTTATTGTCATAGCCTTATATCTACAAGACCCTATTAACAAGTTTAGTAGTATCAGCTTTCCTCACCAGATTTCCTCAAATGGTTGCTTCTTGTTGCAGGGACAATGAAAATGTACCATATTTTAAGGTCATAAAATACAAGTTTTAATGATTAGCAATCAAGAAAAGTACGGGGAGGTAGATTTAGAGAATTCAATGCATTGAATCAGGCAATTTCATTATTGTACGACTGCTGTCTTCGAGTTGGTCGATGTTTGTTCTAGAATTCCCATTGTTATGTGCAATAACCTAGTTATGGCATGGTGCATGAAATGAAAGTACAGACAATTCTGAATATGTGACAAATTGAATAAAAATTAATCTACACATATTCACAGCCGTTATTTTAATTGACTGAAACTCCTCAATTGCGACAGCTGTGGTAAAAATCATAATTAAATCATGGTCTGTATAGAACCAACTCATGCTTATAGTTTATCGGTATATGCCATAAAACAACTCCTATCTTGTCTTTCATTAGGGATTTTAGACAGGCACTTATCATTTTCTGAGTATAACACTGGTAACCGTGATTTCCCTAGTACATACATTACAGAAGAGCCTGAATTAATTATTATTGGAAATAAAATTGAGTATCTGGTGGTTTCGCAACTCAGACAGGCAGCTGTGGTAACAATTCTGAATCTATGTGGCATTCCACTTGCTATGGCCATTCTACCGATGCCTCCCTAGGTAAGATGTTAGTAATATCTCATCAATATCAGTTATTGACCATAACTGATTTGAATGAATATTGGGGATTATTATTATTATTTAAAATTGTTTTTGTGCTAGGCGACAGTTCCGGCCATTGAATGTCACTGTTGTCTCTCTCAACTTTTTTTTTCCCGGGCAAATTGCAAGTGATAATGCTGACACACAGTGCATTTTTACCATAGAAGTCATATTCATGTTTGGGATTATGCGGGTGAGTGTCCTTATAAAAACAAACATGGCAGCCCCTAGGGTTTGACCAGACTCCACACAAAGTTTGCTGATTCTGTTCTATACTTTTTGGATTTCGGCGATCCCATGATGTATCACTGGGAGGAAAAGATGTATAAGAATATGGTTATTACGAGGATACCACAAAGTATGCACTCAGACAGTACGCAGTCTCATCAACCTTCACTACACATCTGTCAATACTCCCAATGTACTGTCTTCATGCATACTTTTTGGTATCCTCGTAATAACCTCATAATAACAATAATAAAAAAAGGGGAGATCACCAACCTTGATTTTTGACAAAATTGTATGTTTACTGTAAAAGGGTTGCATATTTCGCTGAGTGGAAAATGTGCTAAATTAAAACCCAGTGAATATGTAAAATTTAGCATAGAACACATTATCTAAATGATAAAACCGTGAATTTAAAACCCACTAAATATGTCTGAAATGGTAAGTCAGTGAAATTTAAACCGATTGAAAATTAGTCATTTTACAGTATGCATACAAAGGTTCTATGAGAAAAAAAGTAAAACATGACCGTTTTCAAATATAAAAAAAACAAAACATTTGTCATTTTTTATGGGGTTTATAGAGAACATGTTCTACAAATAAAAATAATGGATGTTTTGTGTAATTAATGCCTTTTACAATGCCCAACCCCACCTACACTAAACAGTATAGTTTTCATGTTTTAATCAAACTCTTTGAATAGTTTGCACTACACTAATAGAATGTGAAACTGCTTCTGATGAGCATCCACATCCAAGAGTTTGTGACATGAAGAAAAAGTCATGAGCATACATTATGTATTTTCAAATGTTTCCTGAGAACATTCAGATTTTGTATCTCTTTGCCCAGAGAATTATTGAGTTTCACTTGATACATACAAGGAGAAAATAAATCCTACTAAATGAGACATTTTTGAGATATAAATTGGCATTATGCTCTCCCTCAAAAGAGCCTATATACTTAAAGAAATGTGGATTGCACACCAATCATAACAGTGATGTGATCATAAAACTGTATAGAAATCCTGAAATCTAGACTAGAGTAGCATATAGCACTTGAAAAGCTACATCTTATTGAGGACTGGACATGC